CACATCAGGCAGGCACCTCTGTAATATCAATCGTTTTTGTCATTATAATAATTCTTCCAAACAGTAGGATGCAGGCAGACTCTGCATTAATGTTTTGGCTCAAGGTGTTCATTTGTAAATGAACAATTCATCATGTGAAGGGAAAGGGAAATAGCTGCAGGTTTGTGTCAGATTGCCCTGGTGTTAACTGCTGCTCTTTGATGTGACATTGTCTAGACCTAATGCCAGTGGGAGTAATAAAAGAGGAGAGTGGCCATTCCATTATTTTGGATGAATTAAACCATTGGCTGCCACTACCCAAGTATAATGTTTTTAGTGATCCATATCCATAACTTGCATTAATGAAAAATTGACATGCTAGGTGTTTGCTTCCAAACTTTGAAAATATGGCCTCTATATACATACACCATTATAAAACAAGTACCTAGGAAGTATCTTAAAGTTATTTCTTTTTCTTCTCTTTGAAAAATAGAGCCAGGGCACGCTGAGATTAACAGGAGTAATTATTTTGTTTTCTATTGACTTACTATTAGCTTTTATAGGAATGTATTACCGAACTGCCACCAGGGATATAATTTATTCTGGCAACTATAGAATGAAATTAGCAATTGGAGGGTTATTGCACAGTGCACCATAAGGGAAAAAGGTGCACCCTTAGTCACATATAACAGTATACCTTGCTGCCAAAATTTATGCAGACAATCTAGATAGCACCAAGGCACAAGTCTGTCCCCCAGCTCAAAAAATGGAGTGGAACAGACTTTAGATTTCCTAATTCTGTTGTAAAGAACTAGATTTTAGGATACGTTACTGTTTGTTTAAAATGTTTTGTATTTGACTATTCCATAGAAGAAAACCTAATTATAAAATGTATTTTGTGTGTATATTTAGGGACTAAAACTATTAGGATTTTAAAGAAAATTCAGTTTTTATCCCAGAATAGCATAAGATGGTTTAACATCTAACAAAGTCAAAGAGGTAATTTGAATGTGTCTGAATTCAATCAATACTTTGATTCTGCTAAAAATAACCCTGAGTATTTCTTAATGTTATTGAATTTATGTTTATTGCAGGGCTACATGCCAGGAAATAGACATAGTTTGTTCATCTTATTTTTAAAATAATGCTGTGTACTTTTGAAGCAAGACACACAGCTGCTTTCTTTGACCTTTTCATGGTTTCAGTAGGCATTCTCTTTCACTTCTCAGGCAGTCACTTTTGAGATACTCTTTATCCTTTTTATAGCTATTAGCAGCCTCAATTTAAGAAAACTAAATCCAACCAGAAACCTCTGCAAGGCCCTGAAGGTTTGTCTTGTCCACGGGGTTTCATAAATTTAGGAATAGTTTGTCTAAGCTGAAAACACACAACCCAATCTGCTCCAGTTACAAAGTGTCTTAGAGTAAAATCTTCAGTGCTCTAACAGAATATTGATGTTCTGTGGAGCAGACATGCCAGGTTACCTTGACCTGCCAATAGGGGATTACAGCTGCATTAGTATATTTGACTTCTTTGCCTGCTCTCAAATGATCAAAGAGACTTTTGTTTCTTCTCCCAAAAGCCATTTGCACAGCACAATAGACCCAGGTTTGGAATTCTTCCCCATTTATTGCTGAGTCTTTAGAGAATAGCGACTATTTGGTACCATCATAAAGAGGTCTTCTCCCTCCCTAGTGCTCGTTTTCCTGTCATATGCCTCTCTTCTCTGCTTTGGATGGTTTAACACATTTAGATACTTTTCACAGTTCTCCTCACTCTAACCAGAACAATGCTGAAAGTCAGAAAAATTCAGCTCCTACTTCCTCAGCTTTGTCAGTCTTGCTGGTGCTCAGTCTAAAGCACAGTCATGTCAATGAGAAGCACTTCACATCATAACAGCGTGACATAAACCTGGAGCTATTTCCTTTCTGCTTCACAAGATGAATTGCTCATTTGTAAATGAGCACCTAGAGCCAAAATATGAGTCCTGACTTTGACTACACTGCAGTGTTCAGAAAACTCTCCTAGTTTCCAATTCACTGCAAACTTGAAAAATCATGCAGTATTTACTGACAAATTAATAAAACCTTTCGAGTCAACAAAGAATGGTTTATAAAATTGCACAGAATCATTGGAGAAACTGAAGTTTACTCTAATGCTGAGGCAAAGGAAGATGAAACAGCCCAACTTCCCTTTGTTTTAGGGTCTGGGATTTTGTTTAGCACAAATGTAGATCAAAACTCGACTTTTTTTGAAGTATAAAGGTCTACTTCCATGATTGCAGAATTAATATTTTCCAAATAACACATTTGTTTTATTACCTTTTTCAAATTTACAGAAAGGAATTACAAACTTTTCAGTGTCCAGGGCTGTATGTTGTATTGCAGTAACTGAATCTCTGGTGTTAAATACCATCTCATTGCTTTGTTAATTACTTTCATTTTCTTTTGATTCTCAGGCCTCTGACTGGTGATATTACATAAAATATCAAAGCATTCTAGGATATTTTAATTAATATAAAGCTATCTAAACCAAGAAAAGTTGTTTTATGCTAAGCTCTAGAAGTTTGGGACTTCAGGTATAACAGCAGCAGATTTGCTGATAGAACAGCCATGTGTCAATTTATTACTAATTGGCTTTCTTTGTTTTCCTGAACAGGCAATATCTCTGTGTGTATAAAAACCCATTGCTTAGGATTTAGTGAGTAGGATTTGTATGCTTCTTAAGTTACAGCCCTTTCAAGATGCTCAACTTGGCTCCCAAGGGAAGCCAGCATTGCAAAAACGGTAGCAAAATAAAAGTACAAAGATACCCAGCTTCTTAAAGATTGAGAGAGTTTTGCACATACAGCCCCAATTATCGGTGTAGCCTAAATACCATAGTAACAGTGATTAAATAACTAACGTGCCTATGCTTAGCAATCCCCCTAAGTACTTACAGTTTTAGAATATAAGCAGATTTTAGGCATCTTTGTGCTACCATTGACAATCTCACCGTTATGTTGGCTCTGCAGTCAGCTTTAGTGCCCTCTGTCCACTAACAGAATGGAGAGCTGTTCATGGAATTTATTTTTATACTTGCTTCTTAGTTTTTGAGGTTACTGATCTGCAAGAGAACTATTCTCTATTGTGTGAGAGCTGTCCTTTTTCAAGCACTCTTTCAGAGATCCAAGGACAATGATTTGACCACACTACACCTCTCTCCACATACTTGTTGACTCCTTCAAAGAACTGTAAGAGGCTCGAAGGACATACCTGCCACCTACACAAGCTGCATGACTTCTTCCCTTCTGGTTATCCAAATATCTGTCAGCTCTAGTTTTCATTCTCATTTTTAGCTATTTACCTGAAAGTCACAATTGTTTATCTACAGTTTCTTGCACACCTGATGGAGTCCCTTTCAAAGGCTGGGGTTGCGTTTGCTGCCTTCCATTCCTCAGGAGGTGAAAAGGATTTAAGTGACAGATTTTATGACACCACAGTTAGGATGTGTTTTGCTTCCTATTTATGTGTAGTCAACTTTTCTCTAAGGATTTGAGTGCACAGGGGCGTACAAAACATCTGTTTAAAAGCTGCATTTTATTCACATACTTCACTGAGAGGAGGGAGAGACACTAATTTTTCATTACAGTGTAAATCAAATGTATTATTCAGCCAGTGTGACCTTGCTGGCACATCCTGAATATCTTCCAGTCCTTGAGATTTTATTTAGTACAAATGGATCATATTCAGTATTAGCTGGAAGAAGATCAAATTTAAATGCTGACTTACTGTTTATTAAAAAAAATGAACAATTTGTTAAATATTGATAGAATATTTACCTATCACTGTGTTCACAACAAATAACTAAAAAAACCCAATAATCAATGCAAGAGGAAAGTCATACTTTATTCCTTATTTCCATCTGATGCTATCAAAAAAAGTATAAGCGGGTTTTATAGTTCCATTAACGTTTTTTTCAGAGTGAGCAACAGTCCACAGGGGCCTCTCCTTTTGTTTTATAACACACATGTTGTCAGGAGAAACAGGTGGCATGAATTTTACTAAAAGAGCAATTCTCCTTATCAAAAATTTATACTGTGTCTGGGAATAATTCTCAGTTCATTTTAGCCTGCTCTCACATGACCCACATTGGCTCAGTGATTTGAAACCCAGATGATTTTCAGACTCTTTGTTTATTTCTTCCAAGTCACAACTGTTTGCTTTTTAAATTTTATGCACATTGGCGATTGGTACCTGTTTTTATTTCTGCTAGCACTGTGCAGACCAATCTGCTACAAATCCACTGTAAGGGATTGGCAAAATTCTTTTTTTTTTGCCCTTTTTTTTTTCTTTTTCCAGCCAGGTCAAGGTACTGTTGAAATGACTCAACCATTTTACTGGAGAGCAATAAGGCTATGCTAAAATGATTTTTCTTTCTTTATTTTAGAAGAAAAGCTGGATATATAAAACATCAGACTACTTTGTTTGCTATTTTTGTTTTCTCTTCCCAGTGGAATGCTTCACGTAGCCAGGACCGTAGCATGAGGGACAGCAGAAAAACTCAGCCTGAGCTTTCTTGTCCCTGTAGCTGGATACTAACACTTTTCAGCAAAAAGTTCTCTCCAACAGTTATTTGACATCTTGCATTATTTCTTTTACCAAGGGACTAGATAAGTGTTGCACATTTGTTTCCGGCAAAGCTGAGCTAGTCAGGAAACAGAACAAGTCCTTTATTGGTGTGACTAAGATATGTCTCTTGCTGGAAAGAAAACACTATTTAAATACTATTAAATCACACTTAATTTAGGAGCAATCAGAATAACTTCCCTCTAAAACTGCCTGCTGCCAGGAAATATTTTTACTGTCAGTATTAAATATACACAATAGACAGTATTTTTAGAAAGTGTCTACTGTATTGTTTAGGATCACAGTGAAGTTGCCAAACCTGGAAAGCTTCAAATTGTGCTAGATTATATTCTCAGCTTTTGGAAAATATCTCAGACTTTACAATCCACATATTTTATTCCTTCTGTATTCCAGAAATAGCTTTCAGTGCATTCCTGCTGGAGACCTGCACGGATGAGCAAGGAGCTTCTGGCAAACCCCAGATGGAAGAATGAAGTTTACAGAATGTGGAAAAAGGGACACACCGCTTGGAAGGAAGGTAGGAGTGCTGTCAGAGTATGCAGGGAATTAAATCTGGCAAGAGATGTCACAGACAACACGCAGGGCTTCTTCAAGTGCATCAGTAACAAAAGGAAAACTAAGGAAAATGTGGGCCCAGAGCTGAATGAGGTGGGTGTCCTGGGGATGAAGGATACAGAGAAGGTGGAGTTACTGAATGTCTTCTTGCTTTAGTCTTTACTGCAAATGCCAGCCCTCAGGAACTGTAGAGCCTGGATGCAAGAGAAAGGAAAGGAGAAAGGAAGACTTTCCCTTGATTGAGAAGGATTGGATTAGAGATCCAACAACAGTGCAGGGAGGAAATTTAAAACTTTCACCTAGAAAGCAAATGTAAATAAAGCCATTACCTGCAAAAGCATCCCTGTGTAAGCATAGGAAAGAAAAGCTGCTACAACTCACTGGTGTGAATACTCAGCCAACACTGAGTCCAGCTGGCAGCAATCGGGAGGAGCTGGGCCTTGTTTCTGGAGACAATAATGGAAACAGAAATCAGGTTCCTTAGAGGTGGTGTGAAATTGGAAGCTCTGAAAGCTGACATAGGGTCATCGCTGGATTCTTGTCTCTGACATTTTTGGTCTTTTCTCATGGTCCAGTTAATAAAGAAAAACTTAAGGTGTGCAAATGAAAAATTCAGCAATAAGGTCTTTTCCTAAAGACATACACAACAATTCAAGGGCAGAGCTGGATGTGTGGCTATTGCCAGGTCTTGCTCACATGCACTAAGGTTATAAAACTGATGGGAAAATGCAGCACCTCTGACCCTTTGCAGTGGTGTTTGAATGGCTGTTTTACACACTTAGGACACTGTAATTAGTAGGTAATGCAAGTAGTTATTAGTATTTCTGTAGTATAAACATCATGGCTTTTTGTTGTATCGCACTTTCCCCAGCATATTTAGCCACTGTTTCCAACCTGACTTATGCCATTTTTGCAGCCTTGACATTGACTTTTTTGTTGTGCTTAAATAACTTTGCTTGTTAGACTGTGGTTCCCTTTGCTCATCCCTGTTGACCTCAATGTTTCAGTTGATATTACTGCCCGTAGCATTCTGGCACAGCCTATTGGAGTCAGTGATTTTTTGTTTCTATTTTCTACAACCTACTCAGTAACCTATCCACTGCCATTATATTTACATTAATAACCTCCTGTTAAATTATGAGGGTGTCTTGCCCTGAATTTCTTATCAGACCTAGTTCTGGAAGTCATCACCTTTCTGTGTTTGTGGCTTAGGAGAGCTCTGTGATACAAATTTTCGAAGGCCAAGCAAATATTCTGAGGAAGTATCACAACACTGTTGACTTGTTCACATAATCCCTTAGATATCTGGTTGTGGCCATTCAAGGGAAGAGGTGCAAGGAAATGGTGATCTTGGTACTGATATAAAGGCCATTTTTTGTATTTAACCTGTGATGCTTTATTACTTTTAGGCAGATACTGTGGATATGCATATTCTTCATGCTTACCAATGACTTTCTCCTCTATGAATTCCTTCTATTCTTCTTATTAATAGGATTCAGTCTGTAATTGTGCCATCCAAAAGGGATCCTAATATCCCCTCTGAGTTCCTCAGATTTGAAATGTTAGGATAACATCAACCAACAGTGAGTGTGGTTGAGGTTTGCTGTACTAACATCAGCTTGAGTGCTTCTTCTTAACTCATTTCTATTTTTAATGTTCTGGCTAGCATAAAAAGAAAATAATGAATTAATGCAGCTCTTAATTGGCTGTAAATAGACAGAAATATGTGTTAACATATGGTGACAGTTAATGGTGGCTTACTTTGTATAAAAGAATTCTATAATTTGTCTGTCCAAGTGATCTCACCAGAGAAGCATGGCAACATTTAGTGTGATACATGTTTCTTTCAGTGTTTTCTACATGATAGCTGTAGTTTAATATTAACCAACTCTATTTTCTGTGGCTTGGCAGCAAATATGATCTTTGATCGTAGACCTCATTTGTACCACATTTTTTTTCATTTAGTAATTTAGTGCAGTTTAGTACAAATGTGCAAAATAAACATGGTTTGCTGGCTACTAAACCAAAACCAATGTATTTTTCCCACTTAACAATCTTCACATTTGCAGTTAGCCTTGTGCATAGCAAAACAGAGACTGTGGAGCATATGTGAGGATTCAGTTTTACTGGCAGAAGGAAAGCTTTTTAAATGTGAAGCACAACCCACTGGGCAGTTCGGAATCTAGGGCAAAAATTGCTATTTCACTCAGTCCTTCCCCATATTTACAAATCTTTTATATAAAGATCCATAGTGCTTATTCGAAAGCAGTTCTGGAGCTGGCTGGTTTTGGCAGGTAGGCAAAGCATCTGCAAATTTTCAGCCTTAAAGAAACAACTGATGCTTGATAGCAAACAGTGCAGTGCAAATAGGAAAAGGAATACACTGTGAACGGTCACTTGCCTCTAAAGGATGAGTTAATTTACTTACAGCTGGTTTGAGTTTGCACAGTTCCTCTCCATCACACTGAATTTTGCAGACTGAGGCGAATCTCACACCTCAGCAAAACCAGGTGTACACGTGCACAGTCTTTATAGATTTTAATTCATCAACAAAGACATTTCACTTTACAGGTGTTCCATAAGTCTCCTTTGTCAACTTACAGAAAGTTTATTTGAATTATCCTCTTAGTACAAATTAAGGAAGGTTATAGTGTATATATGGATTCTTTTGTCTGCAAGTACTACCCCTGTGCATCTCCCTCAGACTGTGTATGAACCAGAACTACAACTACACGCAGGTCAGGGAAGAGTAAGGGAATTTTTAACTGCACAATATGAAGGGTCATTTTTAAAAATTTCTAAAAAATTCATGTTTAGCTGTAAACTGCCTGTCATCCCAGCAGGGCCTGGTGGTGCCCCCACCAATAACTCTGAGCAGTCCCTTTGTGAGTGGCCTGTTGAATCTCAGGTAGCTGCTCCTCGAGCATGGCTCTGAGCTGCAGTATGTGAGGAGGTTCTGGCAAAAGGACTGGGGTACAGTCTAGCCCTTGGCATTTGGTCAGTGGAAAGTATGGCTTAATATTAGAAAAGGAGTGTTTTTTAGCGTTCCCAGAATGCTGCTAATTATTCATACTTCATGACCTCAACAAGCTGTAAATAGCAGGCAATCATGCATTATTTGTGAATGGTGTCCTTGCAGTTCTACTTAGTCCTACAATATACACAGTTAATATGGAAACCTGTGAATCATTCCCAGGGAAGCATTTTCATGCTCTGCAGACACCTGGATTAAAAATTTCCTTGCACACTTTTACAGATGAATTTTTTACTTTTTTAGTGTAAATGATACAAATTGTTAATGTATCTGTAAATTAAATCTATTCGATTTCTTGGATTGTCAAATACACTAAGGGAAATCTTTTTTTTTTTTTTTTTTTTTGCTGTTTACTATTTTACTATAAGATTGTTCTTCCTGTAGCAAATGCCATTCCATCTGTGGGAGCTGCAGGCAGAAGCTGTAGGAAGTCTCATGGTTTCCATAGGCACATTCAGTGAGACGCTAGAGTTTTGATTTATTGTGAAGGTGTCCAGCCTCTCACCAGATTTCAAACTCAATTTACAAGTTTTTTATTACTGCTCTCGTGTTTGATGCAGCCTGGCTGAGATTGCCTCTCCCCATTTTCATGATGCATGATGTCTCCTCCTTGTAGCAATGTTGGTCAAGGGCTTTTGGAAGCTCTAAGGGTCAGGAACAACCACTTGATTATCTTCTGCAGAGATGTGTATGGAGTCAATTATGGATAAGCTGAGGGTCCCTTTTTTCCTCAATATATGCCAAAGTGCCAGACTCAAGGTACAAGTGAAGTGAATGGGCTTCCAGGGATGAAAGAAATGGTGAAGAAGTGCTGAAGTACATTTTTCATGGAAGTTTAACTGTTCTGCTCGGCCAGCATCAGGTTAGGATTGCTAAAAGAGGTCTAAAGTATGGAAGCTCATACCTGTAGATTGCATTCTGTCTTTATAACCTGCAACTACAATTTAACCTTTTTTTTTTTTTCCCTAAAGATTGGAAAACATTAAACAAATGGAGACTTAAAAAAAATTCAGACCACAGTGGAACAGAAAGTTCTCAGCACCTTGATACTGCACTGAAACCCACTGTTTTCTGTTTCTGAAAGCATTTGTATTGTTCCAAACTGTATTTCAGCACACTTCATAGCACCTTAATCTAAATTTGTTCTTTATAAGAATAAAAAAATCATGAATTCACGATGATACTGGCTCATATTTTATAAGAATCAAGAAAAAAATTATATAAAAATTTTAGAACACATTTGACATCCCTAGCATTTATATTTTGATAAGGTGTCTTCCAGGTTATGTAAACACTGAGCTTGGGTCTTTATATGTGAAGAGACAGCAAATTTAGATTTTCTTCCTGGCAAGTACAATATAAAACCAACAAATTAAACTTTGTGTAGTAGGTGCACCATTGTTTAATATCCTTAAGTAAATCCTGAAAATGATGAATAGGAAGGCAGCAAAATTTACAGAGAATAAAGGTATATAGGTTAGTGGCCACTAACTGAAGGAAGGCTGTTTATGGTGTGTGGGATGGAAAGATGTTCATATTGGATTTCTGGTTTAAACATCAATGAACTTCCAGACTTAGGGGCCCCGTGGTCTTATTCAGTAGCTTGTGCTGATGGATGAGCTTCACCAGGATCATGACAGCAAATGAGCCCCACCATCAATACATGTAAAGTATTAAAACATCTATGAAAGTGCAGAGGATTTGGAATTAATTATTCAGTTCAGGAAAGAGATTTGGATGTTGTTACAGACAGCCTAATGAAGACTTTAGTGATGGCCAGAAGTCCAAAAAGACATTAAGAAGCAAAAGGAATAGGATGGGGAATATCATATAAAACACTATAATTAGACCTGATTGGGAAATGTTCCCTCAGCAATGGGTAATTTTGATAACCTGAACAAAATCCACACATTTATATGTAAAAAAACTTCCAACTGTGCAGACCAAAAATTTAATA